ATCAGGAAGGCAACGAGCAGCGGTATGGCGTAAACGGCGGGATACGGTGCGGTATTATCGGTCTGTGATGAGAGATCTGTGCTGGGTAAATCATTGGTGCTCATTAGAATTGAATCACGGAGATTATGCTCTGAAGAGATCAGTGGAAAATGCTGGTCATGGCTCAAAGAGAACAGACACAATGTTGCCATAGAGATTTGTCAGCTCAATCAAAACGAAAGGCTGAAACGCTAAGATTCAAGAGCGCAGCATTAGTCCACACTATGGGCTATGAGCTTTAGGACGTGTCTAAGGCTCAGACTAAGACTAAGCAAATTTGAGTATTGCTTGGTCTCTTGTTCAAAATGTGGATGCTGACTGTACTATAACTGTACTACATTATAACTGACAGTACATGGCATTGCAACTTGTCACTGATCTCTGCAAGTCAACCTTGTACCTGTGCTACCTTTTGTTCTTTCAAAACAGTGATTTCCTAGGCAACTAGGAATAGGAAACTAATAAGCTAATATCTTCCTATATAACAAGATTTTCAAAGGTTTACACCACCTGAATTAAATTTTAATCAAATCGGACCAGTTTATTCTAACTGATTTAAACTACTTGTCCAATTAAAAACTGATTATTAGGGTTATGGAAGCACCGATAAAATTCTGACCATTAGCCAATAAATATTTTCATGTTATCGCCAATATTACAAATTACAAATTCTATACCTATACTATTTGTTGTGAAAAAAAATTCTAAAACTAAATTAGAATTATTGTAAATGTTACAAGTAAATTTAGGCATCATGACATAATAATGCACAGCATGAAAAATGTATATTTGCCAAATATTACATTTATCAGTGTTATTACATTATTTACGTTTTTAACCCCTTAACTGTCACTCACATTTTTGAACATAGACATGAAAGTACACGATCCAAACTTACATTTTTATAATTCATGAACGAAAACATTTTGTAACATGATATTGATGTACCATTTTCATGGTAATGCAACGTTTGATTTTAAAATGGGTTTCAAAGGATGAATTTTGAGATTTTAAGTTTTCAATTGATATATAATTTCTGATGATTTCTAAAGTGTGATAGAGAAAAAGGCAACAAAGACTTTTTTTGACATAGGTCAGAACTCCCGTTATGATGTAGATTTTTGAGGTGCACTCTTGTCATAAATTAATCTATTATATTTCCTACATAACTTTTAACAAAAACATTGGTAAAATATCTATTTAGGAGTCTTAGACCTTTCCAACGATATATAGTTTGTCATGATTAGATTAGGATTTAATTGTAATATAGTGAATTAACCCCTACAGAGGGGACGGGTGACAGTTAAATGGTTAAAGATTGACTTTGTGACTTAACAGTGGTAAAAAAAAATATATATATATAGGGAAATGGGTTTGCACAATTAAATACCCAATGTTGGCTAATATATGGAAACGATACTTATTAAAAAAAGATATAACCTATATGGTATTAATACTGTGCATCCCTAATTACTGTGGGTTCAATGCACACACAGCTAGTGTGAATGCCCCTTAATGCACAAAACATGTTAATGAAAAGCAAAAATGTGTCAACTCAATTCATGATGCAGCACATATAGAGTGCTGCAGGAGTGACATATTATTGCAGCCCAAAACCCAGAAACGGGTTAGAACTACCAATTCCATTGTCCTGCAGTCAGGGTTTATTTTTTGAATGGATTTGTGGTTAAATGCTTAACTTTTCTTGACCAGAGCTTATTTTTTTCAATAATCCAAAAGCCAATGGAAAACTCATTTGGTTATTAATTGGTCTAAGGTAGTAGGCTTGCGTTACTGCCACAGTAATGCAAGAATGCATGTTTAGGACGATAACTATAAAGATAACGATAAAGATGTAGTTCTATAAATCGTTCTCAATATTAAAGAATAGCAGATTCCACACCACAGTTATAACGATAAAGGCACAGAGAAACGATATCGTTGGAATCACTTTCAGAACGATTTTTTCCAGCTGACGAATGATAAAAACATTGACAGACAATCCGAATCAATCCTGCTATAACAAGCTCGAATTTAATTTAAAGCGGCAGACGAGCGTGCTCTTGGAATAAACAGACGATATTATCCGCTGGTGTGGACGCTAATATAGTTATCTTTATAGTTATCATTCTTGGTGTGAACGGGACTTAAGGATGGACAATAGGACTGTACAGTTGGAATGCATGTCTAACATTTGCATCTGCATATTTGCGAAAAGCATATTTCTTGCCTAAGAGTTTACAAAGGAAGTTGACTAATACCAGCAACCCAGCTGATTTAAAATCTACCCAAGTAACCGTACACTCACCCTCTGTTTATAGAGAAAGATCAGAGATCAGGAGAAAAATGCCCAGCATTGGTGAGAAACACTCCAATCCACCAGATGTCATTACATCACAGGATGAAATCATTCAATCTACACAGCACTTTGCCCAATCACAGGTGGATGTGCTGCTGGCAGCTGTAATGACATCACAAAGGCTTTTTCCCCCGTCCTTTCAGGAAACAGTAAGTGAACACAGAGACAATAATTGCCTTTTACACAGGAAGAGTCAGACTCTAATGCACTTCATAGTCATCTGTTTTGGAGGAGAACGGTGGGTGTGTGGCATGTATTTTTTACTCAGTCTTCCACGATTTTGGTTCTATGATCGGTAAAGAAAATCAGTATGACCCAGAGTCCATTTTGAGCTCAGTTTGTAGTCCACACAGGTATGGAGGGAGAGGAGGAAAGCATTTATAGAACAGCTGTCAGGACAATGAACCTCGAGCTGAAAGTCAAAGTCATCTGGGCCATCACTGACATGGAGATCATTCATTTGCATCTACATCAGGCTCATCTGGAGTGGGCCACCGCATCTGGTGCATTCTCACAATCTGCACTAGAGATCATCAAATGGTGGGGGTGCGACTGCTTCATAACTAATGTTTTATAAATGCACCAATATTCTAGATGTATAAAATTAGTGAAAGGCCAAAGCAACCATAATGACTGCCTGAAATAGAACAGAGGTGTCTAGGGAGAGGGTCCAAAAATAACAAATGACTTTTAATTAGGGGACATTTGTGAATGTGTCATCTGTGTGATTCTGCGTGTGCTTGTGTGTCCATAAACATGAAAACAACTGCTGTCTAGATGGCAATATTTGCATGTGTGTTTGCGTTTACAGTGTGGAGCAAACTTTTGAGATCACACAGAATCTGGGATTATTTTCCAGTTCACCTGGAAATCAATTTTTTTAGGATAAAAAAAATAATAATTTAAAAAAGTTATTATGTAAAGTGCCACTTAAATGAATACTTTTATTCAGAAAGGACTCATTAAATTGATCAAAAGTGACAGCAAAAAGTTACATGGTTACAAATATTTATTTCAAATTCTTCTGAACTGCTATTCATCAAAGAATACTGAGAAAAGTCTCATGGTTTCCATAAAAACATTAAGCAGCACAACTGTTTTCAACATTAATAATAATAAAAAACGGTTATTGAGCATTAAATCAGCATGTTAGAATTATTTCTCAAGGATCATGTGACACTGAATACTGGAGTAATGGCTCCTGAAAATTCAGCTTTGCCATCACAGAAATAAAATGCATTAAAAAAAGTAAAATATCTTAAAATAGAAAACGTTTTTTAAATTGTAATGATATTTAACAATATAACTGTTTGTGCATTTTTGATCAAATAAATGCAGCCTTTAAGGGGGAAAAAAATACAAAAACATGTTTACTAGTGGTCTCAAACATTTGAACTTCAATTTTATGTGTGAATACATCTAACACAATCATTTTGTGACCTTTTCTTTGTGTGTCCACCTGTAATCCTCCAGATTTCACACATATTCCAATTAGATTTTACATTGCAGAGCTGAAATTTGCCATCCTAACTGGCTTCCACAGCATCACATCACCAAAAATGACAGATTGAGTAATACACCGAGCGCGCCAACACATACAATCACAGGTCAGCATTCTACAGAGAAAAAGAATTCCAAGCAGGAGAAAAGAGAAAGATTGGCCCTTGAAGACAGAAGTATACCACGTAAGAAAGAGGGAGGGAGGAATGTGGTTTAATGGACTGCTGGATTTACTGAACTCTCAGCTGTAAATTCATGTAGCTCCCCACATCTTAAAAACACCATCCCTCAGCTTATGACAAGGGCAAATCTCACTCAAAGACTGTGGGGACTTTCCATTGACTTCCATGGTTTTTAAATTGAGGTAATGATATTTTCATTTCTCCTAACTTAACGCTCACACAAGCATTTCCATGAAGGAAGTATTCAATATTTATTTAATTCATAAAATGTAGATTATGTCTGGTCATCTCTTTACTATCCTTGTGGGGACATCTGGTCCCCACAATGTAACAAAACCTGACCCACACACAAAAAATCAATGAAGCTACAAATGCAAACATTCATATAAAAGAATACATTTCTTAATTGACCAACTGGTACACACACAGAAGTACTCACCAGTATTGTTCTTTTTCCTGTTCTTCAGAGCACAGGTGACAGAATCTCCAGAAACATGAGGATTCTCCACATATTTGGGTGTCCTGATTGAACCTGCAGCCTCAGCTGTAAATTCATGTAACTCCCCACATCTTAAAAACACCATCCCTCAGCTTACGACAAGGGCAAATCTCACTCAAAGACTGTGGGGACTTTCCATTGACTTCCATGGTTTTTAAATTGAGGTAATGATATTTTCATTTCTCCTAACTTAACGCTCACACAAGCATTTCCATGAAGGAAGTATTCAATATTTATTTAATTCATAAAATGTAGATTATGTCTGGTCATCTCTTTACTATCCTTGTGGGGACATCTGGTCCCCACAATGTAACAAAACCTGACCCACACACAAAAAATCAATGAAGCTACAAATGCAAACATTCATATAAAAGAATACATTTCTTAATTGACCAACTGGTACACACACAGAAGTACTCACCAGTATTGTTCTTTTTCCTGTTCTTCAGAGCACAGGTGACAGAATCTCCAGAAACATGAGGATTCTCCACATATTTGGGTGTCCTGATTGAACCTGCAGACAGAGCAAAAATGAGAGAAAGACCGGAGCAGAGAGAGGGGAAAGAGAGGGAGGGAGGAGGAAGAGAGTGAGAGAGACATACATACACACACAGAGACAGTTAAGTCTTTCCAGATGGGATTTTGAAGCTGGCGATCTGAATCTCTGGGCAGAGCTGCATGTGGATATGCTTGTGCTTGTGTGTGTGTGTGAGACAGTTGTGATCGGCTGTCCTGTACTCCCAGAGAGATTCCAGTATAAACAAGGAGTCTGTAATGATTTTAATCTCCCTGAGCAGTTCCTCCTGTGTCAGCTGTGTCAGAGTCGAGCTTCATTGGCATGATTGTCAACATATACAATTTTGCCAAAGCATAGAAGTGCTTAGAGTACAGAAACAAGACAATAAATAGTTAATGTTCAAAAGTTTTTGAAAGAAGTCTCTTATGCTCACCAAGGCTACATTTATTTGATCAGAAATTCAGTAAAAGTGTAATATTGTGAATTAATATTGCAATTTAAAATAACTTTGAATACATTTTAACGTGTAATTTATTCCTGTGATGACAAGGCTGAATTTTCAGCAGCCATTACTCCAGTTTTGAGTTTCACATGATACTTCTGAAATCATTCTAATATGCTGATTTGGTGCTCAAGAAACATTTTTTTACTATCAATATTGAAAACAGTTCATTAAAATTTTTGTGGAAACCTTAATATGTTTTACACATGATTCTTAGATTAATAAAAGGTTTAAGATTTTTTTATGTAACAATGTAAATGTTTTTTAATGTCACTTTTGATCAATTTAATGCATCTATGCTGAATAAAAGTATTCATTTCTTTCGAGAAAAAAAATTACACCAAGCTACAATAATAGTTTATTATTTAGTCTATAATACTAGACCAAGTAATATTACTTCCAAGTAATATTACAGTCAATACAGTCTCAGGGTTACTTCAGTACACAAACCACTAGCTGAATCAGCTCATTCACAGCCCTGACTCGTCTGCAAGAACATTTGTTCCATTTAACTTCACAGCGGTTCCTCATACAAAGCCTCAAACATCAGACAGGAGCCTGAAACAAGAATAAATACAGATATCTCCACTGGCGCTCAGATTTGGAAGTAATATTCAGGGCTGTAGCAACTGACACGTTATTCCCACTTTCAGAAATGAAGTTCACCCCTACCCACTTGTCGGGAAATAACCATTATATTTTAAGAGCTTTGTTTTGATCGGCCACAACACACACACACAAAAACTAAGTGTAGGCAGCCAATGTGAAATGGTGACAAGGCAGATGCATTTACAAATTAGTCTGGACTTTGTTTGGGCATTGCGTCACCTCGACTTTTCAGACTCTTCTTGCACCTCTGGTAATATTAGATTACACAGTTAATGATTGTTTGAAGGAAAATAATAGTGAAGGATCTGAAAGATTAGTGCTGTAGGATCAAATCAATGTAGGTTTGACTCAGGAACTGGACTATTAGCACAATCACAACTCTATCACATCTACATCCTGGAGTTAGGCAGTTAACAACAGTTTGTCTGATGGGGACTGTCATGTAATTACATGTCGCTTTCAGTACAATGCTTTGGATGAAAAGTGTTTGCTGCAAGATAAGAATGTGAAAGGCTTTCTCTCAGTTTTAAAATCAACCTGACACTGCGTTCGCATAGTAGTTTCCTTGTGCAACAGTATTTACAGATAACTTGAATCCGACTGACATAAGTGAAAACTTTCATTTTGATGAAAAATTTAAGACAAACTTATATATTTTTTGGAATATTGTGAATGAACTGTGTAGAAAAAGACCAGGAACATGTATTAAGAAAGCAAATTTTAAGTTCATGTTGATGAAAAGTGGTGCATACTGCCACCTACAGGAACAGACACAGCATTGCCAGCACATGGATGCTTCCATTAAGCATTACTTTATAATGGGAAATGCTTATAGCAGGAGAGAAACAGACGCTTTTAAGAAATATAATGACAGATAATAAAATAAAACACTATGAAACAAGAATGTGACTGTTGTAAATTGCTACTTAAACATTAGAATGGATCTAAAATTTAGGAGTAAATCAAGTAGATTAATGGTAACATGTTACATTTCCTTTTTTTTTTTTTTTTAAAAAATTTTTTCTGTAAAGCGTTCTAAACAATTCAGCAGCACATAGGGCCGACGTGGGTATGATCACACAACCTGAGGTGCAAGACAGTGGGAAGAACAATCACCAAACGCTGCCAGAATACTGAGTGAGTTCCTGCCAAGTGTTTCTCTTGCAATGTGATTGGCAGCTCTCAGCTCAGCTATCAGTGTGAATGAGCACAGAGCTACCAATACCACAATGATAACATAATACATATTACACAGTATATGATACCGTTTCATTCATCAATTTGCAAATAATCTATAGCAGCAAGCTAAATATGTACAGTTTATCTAAATCACACATTTGGAAAAGACTGCATTTTAAGAAACATGTCAATGTATGAACCCACTCAAGTTCACCTTGACCTACACTCATCCTAAAGTCTGAATATCAACTGAACCTACACTTTGAGCCTTGACTTTGGCCTCACAATGGCTCTGACTTTTGTTTTATAATGGGATTCCTTACTAGTGGCTAGCTGTATAAACACAACCACTATGTCTGAAGAACTAGTCTTGTCAACTAGTAGTTAGTCAAGGGGTAATCAGACTTACTTTTTGAATTAGATCAATCAATCAATCAATCAATCAATCAATCAATCACAGTGACAAATTATTAGCCCTAAAGAAAAAAATTAGATGACCACAGACCAGTGGTTCTCAAACAGTTTGCTTCGAGACTCCCATTTGATATTATTGAGCATCACAGAAACATTATTTATTGTACAAAAGTTACTAAATATGTCCTTAAATCAAACATGAAATCTATCAAAAATCTGGGCCACTAATTCACTGCACAATATATTTGAATTTACTAATCTGCTCTGAGAGTTTGATTATACACACACACACACACACACTTCTTGTCTTTTAAAAGTTAAAAAACTATTATTTTGCTGTCACACTATGCATAATTATACAGTTATATTAAATTTCTGAATATTTGCATTTGGGATTTTTTGTCCTGCTGTCCAGGACCAGAACAGGCCTCCGAAACATCAGTTGAGAATTGCTGGCATAGACTGTGAGGTAGTCTGTTGCTCCTAATCAGGGGCACGTGGGCCACTGGATGACTTTTATATTTAATATAACTTAATTAAAATTCTTCAAAAACAAAAAAACAAATACACATACATAAAATAAAATAAACTGAAATCATATTTCTTTTTTTTTTACCCCCTCAAACTATTGTTTTTATTTTATTACAGAACATACAATTGTGAAATCACAGAATTAATCATATTAAATACATTTAATATAGTGGCACTCGGTTTATGCTAATAAAAAAGTTAAATCAAGCAGCAGAATTACAGGAGGAAATATCTTATCTGGGGGGCCTTTTAATGTTAGACACTGAAGGGCTTTTGTGTTAAAATAGTTTTGGTCTACACTGTGAAGTCAGCACCAATAGATGGCACAGTTTGTGCATTACATAAATCACAGCTGCAGAACTTCTTAAAGAGGACAAAGCCATAGTACTGTAAATGTAAATGATGCGTCTATTGTGTATAATATACAGCATACTACTTGAACCAGACATACCATTAGTATAGTACTCAAACAGACATACTTTTTTTTATCTTTAATCTTATCTCACATTGTAAAAATGCATTTTTCATTAGCTCTGAATGTATTTGTAGTTTATGTAATGTGAAACCTGAAATTACTTGGGTGATACAACCAGGGGTGTATACAATGCATAGTCTATGATAAGTCTATAATATTGCAAAGTCTATGATAATATCACAATTATTGTTGTAATGTGTATAAATTAGTTGAGTATTAATGCATTAAAGTATCAATGTATTAATGAGTATTAATGATTTGAGTTATTGAGTAATTTATTCAAACTGTCTTAAACATTTAAAAATGGACTGTTACGTACCTGGTGACTTGTTGGACCAGACTGGCGAAACATATGGTTGGCGGGGAGGGAGCAGGGGGGAGGAAGGGAGGGAGACGGACACTCCTCTGGTCAAACTCGGCCTCAGCATCTCCTCTGCAGGGTACGGCTGTACTGGCAGCGGCCCACTGCCATGATTCTGAATAACCGCAAACCCCTCTTCCTGAACTCTGTTATGGAAACTGGGACTGAGGGATTGACTTCCTAAGCAAAAATTAGAAAGACAAAATATATATGTATTTTCTTCTCTTTTGAATACTTGATTCGAATTTTATCTGCTTGCAGATAGTTTTGTACTTTTTAAACAAAGCCGAACATGAACGTTTTCAAATGCACAGAATCATGTATGAGTGATCCATTCAACATGAGTCACTTATTCAACCACAATAACAAACACTGAACATTTAGAACTGTCTGAGTCTCATAAAATCTCTCACACTCTTACAGTAGAATAATTTACTCTATGTGTGTGTGGGGGGGGGGGATTCTCTGTATGCTTTCCAGTTGGACGTCAGAAATCCAATTAGCTTGGTATCATTACCAATGGCTTTTTGTATCCAAGCCTTCAAAACCACTATAAAAACATACAGACAAACTACTAAGGCTGTCTCAAGACCAACAGTAATATTATACATCTTTTTCCTCCTATAATAACCCTTTCGAAGAAAGCTGAGAATAATTTAAGCTCTTTTAAACATTCCAAAGCAAACATACAAGGCCTAAAGTTCCTCTCACCACAATTTACTGGTGATCTTTACTGCCAAAACTAAGCTGATTTTAAACAAAAAGCCAACAGAAATGCAGATTTTCACAGGACAACCCGCCATATTATGAGGAGGACATCCCTGCAGTCATTTTGGAGAAAGACTGAAGAAAGAAACAAAAGTGTAAAACTACTGTGTGTACTTGAAAAGAAAATAATAATAGTAAATAAATAAATAAGCAGGCTCTACATTAATTCACAGCTTTACTGAAAACTTGTATGGTTTCTGAAATTAATGAATTGAATATACATAAAATTAATATGCTACTCCTGCTCAACTAGTCAGTTTCCACAGTAATCATATTGCTTACCTGTCCGTGACTGCACCATTCTTAAAGACTTTGGCATGGCTTGGTTGTATAAGGCTGTCTAAAACATTTGTTTTTCGTGCTGCACTTTTTTTTTTTTTAGAATTTAAAATTCTAGCCAATATTGAATATCTAGACACTATATTCATGCTGTGGCTGAAAACAAACCAACAAAAAAAGTAAATTTAGGCGTCACTAGATTATGATGTACAGTACAAAAGATGGATATTCTAAGATTTTAAGATTACATTTAACAGTAACCTAAAGTATAAGTAATCTAAAAAAAGAGGAGAAATGAGCATTCACAATGAAATTTTCTAATATATTTTAATATATTTCAGGATACCAATTAATAATAATAATATATTAATTGTGCATCCACCTACTTGTTTTACTGTTACCTTTTTGTTGCTAAAAAAAAAAAAATTTTTTTGTGGACATCCAAGATTCATCACAAATTCTGAATGTACTGAAATAGCTATATATATATATATATATATATATATTTCTTCCTTTCAAAATCAATGCATTCAGTTTTAATTCACTCAATTGCAGAGAATAAAACAAAATATATGAAATAAGCTGTTTTATTGATTTCAGACCATTCCTCCAGGGATCCTCTAACGTTAGATTATTATAAAAAAAAAAATCTTATTAAAAAGAATTACTATGCTAGTAAATTTACTATTTACTAATTTACTATTTTATACTATTTTGTAAAACATACTTTTACTATCTTTGTTTTATTTATTTCTCAGAAAATTATTTTTTACAGTGTATTTCAAGCATAGCTTTGTTAAAGGGGTCATATGATGCGATTTCAAGTTTTCCTTTCTCTTTGGAGTGTTGCAAGCTGTTCGTGAATAGATTAAGATCCCTAAAGTTGCAAAGACTAAAGTCTCAAACTCAGAGATATTCTTTATAAAAGTTAAGACTCGTCCACGCCCTCCTAAAACGCCTCATTCTAACACGCCCCCACATGTCTACGTCACGATGTGGGAAGATTTGCATAACGCCGCCCAAATGTTCATGCAAAGAAAGAAGGCGTAACTTTGAATCTCGCTGTAGTATTGCTGTTGCCGCCGCCATGTTGTGGAGTCGCTGTGTGTTTCTTTGTGAAAGTGAAACTACTTTGTTTGGTCTTCCAGAAGAGGACACAACTAGAAATCAGTGGTTAAGTTGTATTTACAACACTGTTCCAAAACAGTTCAACCCAAATATTCAGATGTGTGCAACGCATTTTACGGAGGACGAGGACTGTTTCCTGGGAGAGTAGCCTACAATGCTGGTGTTCCTGTGAATTCAGTTCCCGTTTCCCCTTCGGTGCGCATGCTGACCCTATACAGTCTATGATGCTGACAAATAATGCTGACTCACAGTACATTTTCATATTTAAAGGATTTGCCAGGGACTATTCAAACGTGAGTTTTGAGCAATGTAGAGTAGTGCTTGTTGTTTGCTGTTTCTCCGATCACAAATACAGGCATGGTTTTATGTTTACGTGGCGCGATGCAACGCAATGCATAAAAAGACAGTATAAGTCATTATAATCAGTAATTATGTCCCCCACTGGATGCAACAAATGCCTCGTTTTTATTGGTTTTGTTTTGTCGCACCGGGACACGGCATCACAGTATGGTAAGGGGCGTAACATTTCCGTCACACGCTTGAGGAATTCGGCCAATCACAACACACTAGATAGCTGGACAATCAGAGCACACCTCGCTTTTCAGACCGATGAGCTTTGTAAAAATCAACACGTTTCAGAAAGGCGGGGCATAGAGGAGAAACAATAATGTACAGTATGTGGAAAATAATGTGTTTTTTTAACCTTAAACCGCATAAACACATTTCATTACACCAAATACACAAAATAATGTTAATTTTTAGCAAAGTCATATGACCCCTTTAATAAATTCTACTGTAGAAAAGGTTTATTCAATTGTAACAATTTTATTTGCATTTTTGTTTTAAAAGGAAATGATTTTCAGCATTCAAATGATACTTGGCCTGATAGTAAGGTTTCACTCCAGTATGAAGGCTATATGTAACATTGGCCATAGGGTGGAAAATGTGCCAGCATGGCTTTCTTCTTCCCTTTTATTGCAGATTTGTGGTCAGTTGCCTCTTAACGCAGCCCAGCAAATCAAGTCTGACTAATGACAGTCTACTCCAAAGAGCTCTGATATAATTACAGCCCTACATTCATAACACTGAGGCCTGACCAAAATACCAACCAGAGACTCCATTCATCAGACATCAAATATTTATCAGAATATAAATTCAGTCGAAATGAGGGTTTGGAGCTGGACGGAAGCCTTGCTGAATCCTATATTTAGTCAAACGTGGACAGACCGAACCAGAGAGAGAGAAAAAACATTCATGCTGCTGTAAATGGACTCTTAATGTTCATGTGGCGTAAATCAGGTATACTGGAGTTTTGGCATCATCATAAGAATGTGGCATAAATCAGGTATGCTGAAGTTCAGCATGACTATAAGAAACAGAGAATGACTGAAGTGACAAATGCTCAACTTCTAAAGAAATTTAAGTAAAGAACACACAGACAGGGATAGAAATGTACAGTTGAGGACACCAAAGACGATAAACCTAAACCCCAAATGGTACCAACTCTTCTTCAAACAAACAGGAAGTTAAAAAAACTCCACAGGCAAGGACAGACGTAGGATGACAACAATGAGGAAGGAAGGGAAACTAAAATTCCATTTCAAATAAATGTCATTCTTTGAACTTTTCATTCATTCATCATGGTTTCCACAAACATATTAAGCAGCTCATTTTCAACATTGATAATAATAAGAAATCTTTCTTTTGAGCACCAAATCAGCATATTAGGATGATTTCTCTGATGTGACACTGAAGACTGGAGTAATGGCTGTTAAAGATTAAAGTAGATAACAGTTATTTTAAACTGTAATGTTTTACTCTGTTTTTACTGTTTTTGATCAATTAAATGCCTTGGTGTGCATATAAGACACTTTACAAAAACAAAGATCTTACCGATAAATTTGAACAACATTGTGCAATGGTGTTGATAAGTCTTTAGTTTCCACATCGAAAAGTAAAGATTTGAAAATCTAATTTAAACCTGAAAAAATTAAACAAAGAATTGACAAAAAGAATTGGGGTAATTAAACAAAGAATTGACAAAAATGAAGAAATATTTAAAATCTTGGACTATTTCCAAGTAAAATTTTCTATTTAACATTTAACTTAAATTGTTACATAATTTACAAGAGTAAAAATATTTAAAATAAAAATTATATTTAACAAGCACAACTTTTAAACAGTAACGTATACAGTATACAAAGCAAGAACAGATTGGGTGATGACTAATATAATGCAGACTCTTAAAGAGAAGGAAATGGTTGACAAGTGTATTTGTCCCTAAATCAAAACATGCAAAAACACAGATGGACAACAACATCTTGGGAGTTATTAGCCAGATAAAATCATCTCTAACCTACAGCAACTTTAACTGTTACATGACTCAGCAAGAGCATCCTTTTGTAATTTAGCCTCACTCCCAAATTTGCCTAATTTCCTATATCCTAATTCTCTTCCTGACGGCAGAATTCCTGCAGCGGTCCAGGAGGTTGCTGACTCCAGAAATCAGTCAAGTGTCGCCTATGCCTTTTGTGTTACCTGACATACAGGCCATGGTATATCTGTCAGATTAGCCTGAAATGCAGATGCTGACTGCTCACCGCTGGAACTTCTTAAGCATTTCAAAGAATGTGATCAATGATTAGCTCAAAGTGTGGCCAGCTGTGTTTCTGGTAATGAGATTAGGCCTTGTGTTACTGGAATTCAAACCTACAATCTCAGAGAAGATCACTATCAAGTAATACACTCAATCTTTGTTACAAGCTAATCATATAGTTTACAAGACAGCAGTTTTTAATTAGCGACCATTTCTCAAAATTCAACTTTTATAATGATTCAAAAGATTTCTATTTCAAATAAATGCTGTTCTTTTGAACATTCTATTCATCAAAGAATCCGGGGGGGGAAAAGCATCACCGTTTCCACAAAAATATTAAAGAGCACAACTGCTTTCAACACTGGTAATAAGAAATGTTGCTTGAGCACCAAATCAGCATATTAAGACT